AGCCCAAGGAAATATGACCATGGCAGTGTGGACACAAGTATCCCAATGGATTCCCATGTGGCTTGTTCCTGCCCAGGACAGGAATACACTGATCCAGAACACTCCCACTCACTCAGGTAAGCTCTTACCCCAGGGGAAACTCAGAGGAACATTCCCTCTCTCTTCACTGAAGTGCTGCACTTCAACATTATTTCACAGACCCTGAGCACGACTGTAGCAGCAAGAGAAAAGCTGTAAAAAGCAGTGCTTTCCAGGAAGGAACAGCAAAAAGCAGTGCTTTCCAGAAGGAACAGCAAAGAGCAATGCTTTCCAGGAAGGAACAGCATTCTCCACTAAACTCAGACAATTCTTACACATGTGCTCCATTTACCACTTTCACTACAGCTCACAGCACAACACAGTTCCTAAACCAGCCTTGGTAAGCAAAAAGGCAGCTACATCCTACAGCCCCTTCCAGCAAAAAGCTCTGGACTACAAACTCTGCACTTGCTTATAGCCAAACCAATGGACCAGGGCAGTTTTAGAAAACAGATTAATCTCAGCATGGCCATATCGATGGGTTTTGAGAAAGGGAGATCCCCAACCAGGCACCCTCTGTGAGGTTACATAAGGCTGAGCTGAGCAGTTGAAAAGACAAAGTACCAGCAGGAGAAATGTGCATTCTCTTCAATCCAAGCAGGGTTTGGTTCCTGCAGGAGAGTCAGTCACAATGAAGAACACCTCAGCCTGTACCTCTGTGCCAGTGCATGCTCTGCAAGGATGGCACTGCAGCTGTGTCAGGAAAGCTCTCCAAGTATAAACCTCAAGAGTGGAACAGCAATCCTTTCCTGCCCCTGCTTCTCTCTCTTTAAAGGAAAGGCAGGAGCAAACAGGATTATTCCCAAAGCAGACCAGTGTCAATCACATCCCAGTCTAAATCTCGAGGTTTGACAGTAAATGGGATCAGTGCACACAGGGAAATTTCTTCCAGATCGGTCCCTCAAGCACAGAAATTTCACCTCAGATTGTTTTTGCTACACCTGTTGCAATGCTGGTGGAGAGGAGAAAACCCTGCTCCCAGGAAAGAAGAAAAACAAATTCCTCTGACCAGGTCATCCACACTGCTGAAACCCTTCCAAATATGACAACATCTGCTGAAAAGAGACCAAGGCCTGGAAAGGTGCATAAGGAACACAAAACAGAGGTGAGCAGTTTCTTCAGTCAGTATCTAATCAAGAAGAAGGGAAAAGGACTACTAGAAAACCCAGCACATTACAGAACATTTCTGCACTGCTCTCCAGAAGAATTTACATCCTTCCAACACTGCCTATAGCAACAAGTGGGTTAAAGAGTTTTTCACAGAAAGTTTTCCACCTCCAACAACCACTAATGATTGACAAAACAACCCCGATGTCGCAGTAAGATCCTGTGGAATGAAAAGCTGGAGATGCACAGACCCTTCCAAAATGTCCTGACAGCTCACTGAGCAGCACAGCACACAATGGCTCCCTCCCAACTCCCACAACTCCACTGCCTGCAACACGGTTCTGGGCTACTACTTAAGAATAATGTAGCAAGTTGAAATAAAACAAAACCAAATCAAAAAAACCAACACTACATACAAAACAAAACATATGGCTCATGGTAATGATTGGGAAACCCACTGAGGATTAATGAATTTTGCAAATTAGCAAAGAAGGAGCAACCAGGATTAAAGAGAAACAATCAACAACACTGAGATGCAAAACACTCTCTGTTCATTTATTTAGCAAAGTGTAGCTCTGCCTGTGCTGAAAGCACCTGATAGCTTACCAAAGAAGACAGAGTAATATATTTTGTAAAAGTAATTAAGCCTTTGAAATATGAGACCATAGTACATCACTCAGCTGCTGCCGAGGAGAGGGATTTGACTCCCAAGTTGTTTGTGCTGTCAACAAGAGAGATCAGGCTCCCAGATTACTCCCGGGAGGAGGAGTGAGATTCTAGGAGTGCAGCAGGGCTTGGCTGGAAACCCACACCCCACTGCACAAGTGCCTCCCCTCCACGGGAAATGGTAAATATTAGACAGCATCATTCAGAACATGCAGCAGGTAAAAGATGTGCCTGGGAAAACTCCTGGAAGTCCCAGCCCAGTGTGTGCACTGCCTTCAGCCTCACAGCGAGAGACCTTAGCCCTGGCCTGCAAGTGAGGTTTGAGGACACCAAAAACCCCCACTGGACTCACTCCATCTTAAGAGCTGAGCTTTAAACACACAGTTGTTAACTCAGCAAAGAGGCCTCTTGCAGGATTATTAATAACTGTGATTTCTGTCACTGTACACAGCAGTGCAAAGACACAAGCACCTATGAAGCCCACAGAAACATTTGCATTTGCAGACACTGACTAATAACAAAATCAGCCTTCTTTAAAGACAGGCACTGCAAGGACAAGGCTGCCCAGCACGCTTACTGAGCTGGAACTCAGCCTTCAACATGCTTCTCCTCTAAATACTTATTAAATGACAAGAACTAAACTTTTTGTAAGCACTTTGGTGCTTCTATGGCACCAGTTTTATTCCCAGAAGCCTAGTTTTTATGTGAAGATAACAGAACAAACACTCCAGAGTCAGCTTTGAAAACACCCCTCAGACACTTCACATTGCACGTGCATTCTTTCTTAATTTAAACTCTGCATGCATAGGTCACTACAACTAAAAAGCCTTTCAGTGCAATAGCTACTGTCTCAGCACTGGAGAGACAATATTGCAATCAAGCTTCTGCTGAAGATTGTATAAGACTGTTACCCCCTGCCCAACCCTTTTATTAAACATTGTCTCAAAACACTAAATAAGCACAAGTATTTTTATCCAGTGCAGACTAAAAAGAAAGAAATACACCATCTTAGCATTTCTTCTTTCCAAAAAGGAAGGCTTTGAGGTCTGGAGTTACTCTGTTTCAGCAGGAGCCTCCCAGGGTATTATTAAAAACTGCCCAAACTTCTGTGCTAAAAAAATGAGGCAGCCAGCAGTCTGCTAGTGCTGTGATCTGCAGATCAGGAGGCAGGACCTGCATTCACAGAACACTCAAGCACTGAGGGAGTTGTAAGCAATACAGATCATGGCTTTTTCTGCTTGTAAAGCAACCAAACTGCTTTGGGGACTTCTTGTTTGTTTTGATCGATGCATATTTATTCTGCACTTGTCACCCAGATCCTGCAGCACATATGGTAGTCACCAAGTCCCCTCTAATACCTTGGCTTAGCACTGTGTGAATTAAAGACAACAGTTTCAGCTTTAAAACTAAACTTCCAGTTTCATGTAGACACACCCCCCAGCACACTCACACCGTACACATTCAAAAAATTAATAAGCATATTAAAAACGTGCTTCTCTATTCCCAGCAAGGAACAGCAGGTGTGCTTTGCTAATTATGTCAGCTCCTAACCTATTATTTACCAGTGTCAGGGAACTTAAGATGTAACAAAAAAAAAAAAAAAAAAAAAAAAAAAAAGGCAAAGGCAAACAAACAAAACAACCCCAAAACTTACATATAAAAGTTTGAAATATTAGTGAAGCCAGCACATTTGCTCATCCAAACAAGTTTATTTTAGTAACTTTTGGTTCCTGATTAACAGAAAGGAACATCCACACTCTGGGACTGTCACAGAACCTGACAGAACACATTCTCCACGTTGTCAAAAGTCAATTGTGGAGGAAAACACGTTCTGAATTAACACCCTGCGAGACCCAACCACGTAAAGACGCACACAGACCCGCGACCTGAACACTACAGCTTTGTTTGAAAGTGAAACCAAGCGGGCTACAAATAATGCTCTATCCCCAGCGCCCAGGGAGGTGCCAAACCCAAACAAGAAGTATAAACGGAGGAGAAGGACGGCTGAGTTTTGAAGTTTCACATTTTATTATCGGTAGCATTATTTATAGCGTGACACTTCTATATATAAATCTGCGATCTGCGTTTCTTTTTACACCTAGAAAGCGTATCAAGTTTAGGCAGCGAACCCTTGGGTTTCCATTTATTTGCAAAAGTTTGGTAAACACCGGATATTTACACGAGCGGAGCAGCTGGGTATACACACACACACAAATAAATGCATGCGGACGCGGACAACACGCGAAAGGAGCACTTTCCAGCCCATCATCCGCTGCCTGCTCAGACCTTTTTCCAGCTCCCGAGCCAGCGGGGAAATGGCCGGAGCAGGCGGGCGCTGGCCCAGGGCTGGGGCCGCCCCGGGCTCCGCTCCGCGCCCGACACAAACGGGAGCCGGGACCCGCGCACCGCCGCCACCGGGGGCTGGAGCCTGCCTAGCACCCCCCTTCCTCCGCGCTATTTTTTAAATTTTCTTTTTTTTTTTTTCCCTCCTCCTCTTCCCTCCCTCTTTTTTTTTTTTTTTCCCCTCTTTCTTTTTTCCTTGTTTTCAAGAGCCCTCCTTTTCTTCGCCCCTAATTTTCCCCTTCAAAAGATGGCGGGCAGAGAGAAAGAGCGAGGGAAAGCGAGCGAGAGAGGGGGAAGAAGAAGAAAAACAAAAAAAAAAAAAAAAAAAAAAAAAGAGAAGAGAAAGAAAGCAAAGCAAGCCCGTCCTGCGTTGGGGCGCGGGGCTCGGCGGGGCCGCGGCTGCGGCCGGGGCGTCTTCGGGCGCTCGGCGAGAAGGGGAGGGGGAGCAGAAGATGGAGAAGAAGCGGCAGAAGAAGAAGAAGAAAAGGGTGGGCAGGAGCGGCGGGGCCGGGAGGAAATCAATGGCCAGGCTGCAGCCAGCCCCGCCGCGCTTTGTTACAATTGTGGCGGCGCACAAAGGCTGCGGGGCCGCGGGGAGCGACGCGGGGCTCTCGCAACAAGAAGGAGCAGAAGAGAGGAGGGGAAAAAAAAAACAAAAAAAAAAATTTCAGCATTGGCCTTTCCCAAGTGGGTTTTGCTTTCCTCCCCCTTCTTCCCCGGCCCCCCTCCCTCCAGAAACCATGGCCCAGTGCTAGCAATGCACACCCAAGCATCTAACAAATAAAGGGAAAGATTAAATAGATTACTTTGCCCCGGCAGCTCCAGCAACGTTTGCCTTACAGTCCCTCCAGTTGCTCTTCTTTTTATCCTCGGCAAGGCAGTATAATAGATGCGCTACAGCGCCCGAGCGCTCATGCGCCGGGGCGCAAGGCCATGTGGGCACCGTAGTCCCGGGCCGGGCCGGGTGAGAAGCGGCGGCCGCAGCCCGCACTACAAATCCCACAAGCCGGCGGGTCCCCCCGGCCCCCCTTGCCCTCCCCGGAGCGGCGGGCAGGGGACGGGAACGGCAGGGGTGATGCCCCGGTCAGCGGGCGGCGGGGCCGCCCCGCGCCGTGGCCCCGGCGGGGGAAGCGCCCGGCGGGGCTCGGCCCGGGGAAGCCGCGGCGCGGGGCCGCGCGGAGGTGGCGGAGGGCGGGTGTCCCCCGGGCAGACATGGCCGGGGAAAATCCCGGCTTCCCCCGGCCGCCCGCGTCGCGCCTCCCGAGCTACGAGCAGAGCCTGAAAAGTGCGCCTGGAAACGCGCGTGGGACCCACGCGTGCTGCGGGAGGCCGAGCTGCAATCACAACTGCTCTCGCCCCCTTGTTTTTTTGTTGTGTTGTTTTGTTTGTATTTTCTTTTTTTTTTTAATCGCGGTTTGCATTGGGTAATGCGCTCTCGCAGGTATTACGCAACAACTAATACGAGCTGCAATAAAAATAGCCCGCCGCCGATGCACGCTGGAGTAGACAGCGGCCAAAAAAAATCCATCAAGGAAACCCACAGCCCGATGTAGTTTGCACTGGTTGGTTCATTTCATAACATCGTCAACTGCTGAAAACAACAGAAATTAATCTAACGTATACAATAACAACAATGTGAATATCACCAGCACACCACCATAAAAGCATCAACAAACATCAGCGCTGTTAAAAACACTTCCAAGTAACAGACACACACAGCCCATGTCCTAAAGCAAATCCACAACTGCAAACAGAAGTTAAAACAAAAAAATTGTTATAAGCCAAAATGTGATTGAATTGCTGCAGAAAAAAAAATATAATAGAGCTGTTGGAAAATAAATGAGGGGAACATTTGAGTGCCAAGATGGAATAAGGCAGAGTGAAGGGATTTCTCTGTGGACACGTGTGCCAGCAGAGGCTGCCACGCTGCTGGTTCAGACAGCCACATGCTGATGCCAATTAATAAGTCAGTTTACTGTAACCATAAGGTGAAGGCAGTTTTACTAAAAGACCTTATTTCCAGAAGATTAGCTTTAGAAAAACACAACCAATGGGACTGAAATTTCTCCAGAGGTATGATATAATCAGAAAGATTGTACAGGCTTAAGAGAATTCCATTTAGCCAGGCTTGCAGCTGCCTCAGGATGGAACCAATATTGTGCACATGCCTTAGCCAAACTTCCCTAAAAAAGGGCTTTTTGGCACTCAACTTCAAGGCTTGTGCAAATTCAGGAACCAGAAACTTGCTCACAACTCTACCACTCTTGGATACATTTACTAAGGCAGCATTTGGTGCATCTGCATCAACACCCAAACCCCACTCTGGGTCAGTGTGTGAGACTTGGGTTTCCTTCCTGCCAGCTGACCCTTCTGACTTGACCACCAGGTACCCCAAAGTCACCTCCCCACCCAGAGCACATGGTCTCTGCAGGAGCACAAACCATGCAAGCAGCAAGAAAAAATTATATTCTGGGTCTACTTAAGGAGAGCCACAACATTTTACGAGCTAATGTTCACAAGCCTGATTGCCAAAAGGAGAGGAAATCCCTTTAAAACACCACCTGAACTCTGCCCTGCCCACAATGTCCTGAATTCCAGATACCTGGGAGTAGGGGAAGGACTTTGAGCACTTTTTACCATTGCTCTGCTCTAAGCCCATTTTTAAGGCAATCTAAAAGATCACAAGTGTATCAAAGCATTGGAAAGCTGAAGGGAACCAGGGCAGTTCTTTTGACTGCACTGTCCTGCTCCAGGATGTCCCTGATCCCACAGGGATAACCAGAGTAGGAATTCCTGAATGCCATAACATTCACAGACACCAAATCATGAGCATGACCAAAGAGCCCCTAAATGAAAACTGCTGCAGCTCTAGGCATGGGGGCTGGGAAAAGTTGGCAGCTGAAGCTTTCCAACGGAGGGGGCAGGGAGAAATGGGCTGAGTATTCATTATGAACACTTGGAAAAATGGACTCCATGCACTCTAAATACTCTATTTCAGCTAAATCATAATCTGAAAGCTTGGGGTTTAAAAGTATTTATATTTTAGTTTAAGACAAACTCGTGCAACAAAAGAAGTGTTGGCTGCAATGTGAGACTTGGCAGAGCCACAAGGAGCCGAACAGGGGTCTCCTAATGCAAAGTGTTCAGCAACCCCAGCAACAGACACAGAGCAGAGAGAAACTGGGGAGTGCAGGCAGAAAGGCAGAGATAAGAGAGGCCAGAGAGCAGAAACTCTGTGAGACATTAAACTCTCCAAGCCAGCAGGGCACTCACCTCACAGTGAATGGGCACAAGTTCAGTATTGGGGTTTGATCCTCACTGCAAATCCACTGTCAGGAGCACCATGATGAAGGGTGCATCAAAACTGCAACCCAAAAGGAGTCTCCAATTACACCTTATCTGCCTTATCTCACCCAGGGTGGGTGTAAGAGAGTTTCATCCCAAATTGTCATGTTCATTATGCAGCAGGCTGAGCAGGCAAAACAATTCACGTGGGAAAGTGTCCCCAGAGATTTCACCACTATCAGCTTTCAACCTGGAACACAGCAGTCACTCACACACCTACCTGTAGGTCTGCAGACTTGTGCTTGAAGAACCCTGCTGCATCCTCCAAGGGATTAGGAAAGCAAACATATTTTGGGATCCCTAAAGCCTTCTTTATGCAAGGCAGTGAGTTTAGATAATGGTTTAGCCAAACAGGCACAGGCTGACTCAGTTTGAATAAGCCCCTTAGGAGGTACAGTGAAATCAAATCAGAACCATTTAAGCTCAAGTTACCAAAGCCAAAGTAAAAGCACTTCAACCGAGGAAGAGTTGTAATCTTTAAATTAAATTCTGAACTGATTTTGTCACACAGTTTCATGCACAAGATGTAGCAGGCTGCCTCTTCTGAGACACCTTAACACCAGCTTTTCCATAAAACAGAAACCTACAGCACCAGCTCTTTATTTCCTCCTGCTCCCCAAGCTCGGAGGAGCATCCAGGATTCACCCAAAGCTTCTCAATTGGCCTCTGTGGTCTTTTATGCTGCACCTCCAGTTACCCAATTAGTGTCTTGTTAATGAACACCTGCCATGTATTTATTCGTGGCTGTTACAGTACTTTTTAACTTGTAATGCCCAGCGGTATCTACATCCATCTCAGAAGCTTTGTGCATAGGCTTCAAGAAGAAAAATGTTATTTGTGCAAAACCAGAGTGGTTTTCAGGGCTGTTAAACACTGGCACTTCTTTTTGCCTCTCTACTCATGGAGTGTTGAGTGTTTTGAAACCCAGAGGGGATGGAAGCAGAAAAGGAGATACTTTGTGGGACAGATGAGATTTGGGAGGATGGATCACACTCAGTGCCTTGTGTGGCTGCACCCAACAGTATTTAGCAGGAATCAGGGGCTGCTGGGAACACCAATTTTTCTGATCTTTGCCACAGGTACTTCCTGCAAGCTTCTGATTTTCACCTGTGCCTGTTCCACTATCACAACCACAGATTCCCACTGCAAGGGGAGATTACATGACTCAGATCACTCCAGTGTCAGGCAGAAGGGTGTTGAACACAAGGGGATAAATGCTCTTGTTACAACAGACTCATCTTTTCCAATGATCATCTTCAGTGTAGTGGCAGGATTTCCTCGATTGAGTAAGTGTTATTCAGTAAGTTAAGGATGACAGGATTAGGGCAGAGGTTTGAAACAATAATTGCAGTTTGTTCTTCTGTAGTACCTTTCATCTGTGGAATTCACAACAATGCAATAATCCTCCTAACAGCTTTTGAAAGTAAGGAAATATTATGACTCCTGTTTTTCAGCTGAGGAAGCTGAGAGGGAACATGATGATGCAGAGAATCACGGGCAGAGGCAGAATTGGGACTCAGCTCTTCTGACTCATTCTTTGTAGTTCTGAGAGCCTGGACACACCAGCTGGTGAGTTCACCCTGGCTCCTCACTCCCAGGAATGTCAGTGCCTGCAGGGCTTTGGATCTTCAGTGTTCCCTCTTCATCTGGAAAAGGGTGAGCAGAGCCCCCAGACTGGGAAGCCAGGATGTCCACAAGCCCCAAAAGGCACAGGAATGTGCTCTTTGAAGGGAAGACAGGAAAGAATTGAGCAACCCAAGACCTAAAGGATCTTGTATGTGTTCATCTGCAAAGAGGAGTTTTGATTGTGATCTGAATGGTGCTCTCAAGTCAGCCAATATCCAGTGGAGATTATTTAAATAAAGTTCTTCCAGATTGGAAGTTCCCAATCCAGTGAAGCAGAGCTGAAGTGCTTCCACTGCAATGGACAGGAAGGGCATGAAGAGCCCACAAAATCTCCTGTCTGACTATGATGTGTCTTACCAGGAGGCAGCAAAAAGCTTTATTTGGAGGAGCTGGACACTGGCATAGAGTGGGCTAAGATATGTAAGGAAAGAGGCAGAGCAAAGGCCTAAACTGTTGTGAGAGAAAAGGACATGAGCACAGAATTTAGGAACGGAAAAGAAACTGCCCAGAAACTTTGGGCATAGTTAAAAACGTTCCTTTGGAAATTACCTGCACCTGAATGGTTTTGTTGGACATTCATTGTGATGTGGAGACCCAGCACCTGCTGGGAACACAGTGTTTGCACAGGTAAGCAAGGCTGTGAATGGTGTGTGTTACTGAGCTGGCAGATTAAACCAACAGACACTGGAACATGCCAGAGCCCTCAAGGATTCCTCTGTGTTTCTTTACTTTTCCTCCTGCCCCCTCACAGAGACTGGAGAGAATGGCAGAGAGATCCTCTAACAGTAACACCTTCAAACATCTTGATCTGCAAATGACAACGAGTAATAAATAGATTTCACTAAAATTATTTCAGGGGTGTGAGTGGATTGCATTGAACTGTCCCCTCACTGTGGCTGCAGCCACAGAACAAAGCTCCTGATTCACACAAGTGCTGAGAACCTGCTGCTCCAGTTGAAGTGGCTGGGAGAGGCAGGCTGTCATCACGTCTGGCAGTCAGAGCGTGTGTGACTCAGCCTGGGCTCTCAAAGCAGCAGCCTCAGTGCAGGAGCTTGGCTGGGGCTGGCACTGGGGGGGATTTGTGCTGAATGAATTGCACATTGCAGGACTCCCAACCTGCTCTTCAAAATCGTGTTTCTTAGCAGGTCTTTACTAACAAGGGTTTGATACATGCAGTGTTCAATGATCTTACATTGGAATGAGTTCTTCAACTTCTTCCAGGTCCCTCATGCCTGGATTAAGTGTTTGTACGCATCCCTCCCAAGGCAGGAAGATTCCAATCCTACCTGCTCTCCACTGGGCTAAGATTTCCTAGCTTTAAATGAACAAATGTTGGCAATGATGCAAGCAAGGCTTAGAGTGTAGTGGGGGAGGTAGAAATATCATCCTGGAAAAGGTTCAGTGTTTGTTTTTAAATCCCAGAAGAAACATATGAATGTGATGTATCTGGGATTTAGGGAAGGAAAAAAACAGAGCAGAATGTGAGGAACCACCCAGAAACAGCTCTGTGTCAGGGATCAGCTGCTCTTTAGAAGCCTAAAAGATGCAGCAGGTCTCTCCTGAGCTCTTCCTCCCTGTTTCTGGAGCAGAGTGTAACACACAGCAAGTCTGTTCTGCTCTTCCTCTGTCTGCTGAGGGGCCCAAGCAAATAAAAATGCGAGTTGAGATTGCTAATTGTGCCAAAACATAAACATGGGCTCACACAGCTTGTGTGATTACTCACCACTACAAACCTCAGCACGAGCTGGTTTGCAGCAGGCAGGTCTAAAGAACAGGTCCAGGCTGTAGTGAAGTTCCTGGGAGCTTTTCCCCAAACAATAAGGTCCTTTGGGTCAGCTCTGGGTTAGCTCTGGCCTCGGTGCAACCTGGGACAGAATCACACATTGGTCACAGCAGGCGTCACAGCCTGAGCTCCTGACAAACTGGAATCCACCCAGAGGAGCCCAGTAACACTGGGAGCAGCCACTTCCTCCCAGTCTGAGCCATTTTCCTCTCCTTTTCACCACCATGGGAAGCTGCTGTCCCACAAACACCTGGGACAGGTGTCTTTCCCAGTGCACTTGGCACATCCCCAAGCTCAGGCTGTTTGAAGCAAAGGGAGTGAAAGATTTGCTGATGGAGAAGCCTGCCAAGCCCCACGCTTTTCCAGAGGTTGGACAGATGTCACATCCTGCTGATCCCAGCTGTGGAAGCCTGGCCAGAGGAGCAAGAAAGACCCACAGAGATGATTCATAACCATCAAGTAAAATTTAATCCAAATTTTTGTCTGTGCAGAGCCCTGGGGATGTTCGGCAGTCCCACAGAAATGCCCCTGCTCGTGCTGTTTCTGCAAGCTCCATGCTATCAAAAACCCTGCCTGGCATGGAATCAGGTACTTGGCCAAAGGGAGTTTATCATACTTTAAACTAGTTTAAAAAAACATCCTGGACACTTAGAGGCTATGGGGTTGTTTAGAATTACACTTAATTTGTAGTCAAGGCTACATTTTTCAAGTTCCAGAGAGGTATTATTCACAGCAGATAAGGATTTTTATACATGCACATATATGTGTTTTCTACACATATATAAACATATTTATATATATTTTCTACATATAAAAAATATATAGAAAACATATATTTTAAAAATATATAAAATATATAGAAAAATATCAGGCAAAAATTCCCAAAGCGGACACTGAGAGGCAAAATACAAACTTATCTCCAACATGAAAGAAACAAAAAACACCCTGCCACAAGCAAGTTCTATAAATAGCATTATACTGCTGATTTGCATTCTCCCATTTTATTTCATATTGTTTAAAAGACTGAAAACATTAAGCCAAAGACATCTGGAAGAATCAGCACCAGGGATTTAACTGGATTTGTTTCCTAATATTGTTCAGGGGACTGTGCAGCTCTTCTGTGTTTTACCTCCCTGAGTTTAGAGGGCAGGGCTAATTCTCCAGATTTCTGCTGCAGGATTCCAGGCTGGAGGAGAAGAGTCTTGGCTTCACTACACCACAGGTTTTTTTTCATCTTTTCCTTTCTCAACTGCCACTAGAATTTTTGGAAGCCAAAACCCTTCCTGTGTTAAAGGGCCAGTGAATGACACACGTCTCCTTTGCTTCCCTCTTAAGTGAAAGCAGACTGCAACGTGTGGGTTCAGAAATAACCCACTGCTCTCCAGAGAAGTGCTTAAACACATGTTTAACTGTAACTAGGCTGTTTGGCCTTGATGAATTAAACACTTTTCTGAGTCAGGGCTTTTTGTGTGACGATACACTGAGAAAACCACCTTGCCTCAGATACCCTCTGGGTGTTAAAATGGGTCAAACATCAGCATTTAGAGTCACGCAATCACTTGGGCTGGGAAAGACTTCTGGGATGGTGGAGTCCAACCTTTGATTGACCATCACTTTGTCAATTAATAAATTTAACATCAGCATTTAGAGTCACGGAATCACTTGGGCTGGGAAACACTTCTGGGATGGTGGAGTCCAACCTTTGATTGATCATCACTTTGTCCATTAAATCATGGCACTGAGTGCCACAACCAGTCACTCCTTGGACACCCCCGGGGATGGGGACTCTGCATTGGGCAGCTCCAATGTTTAATTTCTCTCCCTGATCCAATGTTTAACACCACTTTCTATGAAGAAATTCCCACTGATATCCAGCCTGATCGTCCCCTGGTGCAGCTTGAGGATGACTCCCCACTCCCTGCCGTGGAGAAGATACCGACCCTCCCTTTACAGACTTTATTATGGATATTACAGCCATTATTATAGCCATTATTATAGCCATTACTGCCGTGCGAATGGGCCTGCCCTTCTCACAGCCGCTTTTATCGCTGTACATCCAACGGGGCCAGCTGCGGTCGCACCCCAACGACACCTAACCCCCTCCAGCCGAGCTCAACGGCCCCGGGGCGGCGGGAGCAGCGCCGTGGCCGCCGATCCCGGTGTGTACGGGACATCCCCACACGGGAATGCCGCACCGGCAAGGATGCGGCCCGCACGGGCAGGGCGCTCCCCTCAGCGAGCGGGGAGCGGCAGCGGGCGCTGGGAGGGAAGGAGTGAAAGCAACAAGGGGAGGGAAAAGAGAGAAAAGAGCAAAAGGAGGGAAAAGAAGGAGGGGACGGAAAAGAAGGAGGGGAGGGAAGGGGCGGGCAGGATGCCACGGGGATGGGCTCCGCCCGTGCGCGCACTCGCGCCGCTCTTTTGGCTCTCGGGCCGCGCCGTAGCGCTCCCGGGAGAGAGCGGCATTGTGCGGCCTCCGGCCCGCTCCGCGCAGGCGCCGGGCCCCATTCCCCGCCTGGCGGACCCGGACCCGCCGCCGCCGCCGCCGCCGCCGCGTCCCCCCTCCCCTCCCGCGGCCGCGCTCCTCCCTCGCCGCGGAGGAGGCGGCGGCCGCCCCCCTTTTTCCCCATCCCCATCCCCCGGTAAGTCACCGAAAGAACCAGAGGGGCGAGGCGGCGGCGTCGGCTCCTCTCCTTTCCTCTCCCCGTCTGCTCCTCCTCGTCTCCCGCACCGCCCGGGGCTCTCCTCCCGCTCCGCCGTTGCCCGCGCGCGCCGCCGCCGCCTCCCCTCAGGCAGCGCGCGCGGAGCCCGCCCGCTCCCCCCCACCCCCCCCACCCACCCCGGGCCCCTCCGCGCGCGCCCTGCCCGCCCCCCCCCCCACCTTCCCCTCACCCCCTCCCCACATTCTCGGGGTCCCCCCTCCACATTCCCGAGCATTCCAGAGCGAGGGAAGGGCCTCTCGGGGCCGGGGGGGCTCGGGGAGGTGTTATCGGTACCGCGGGAGGGGATGCGCCCCCCCGGGCATGGAGCCCAGGCGGGCCCGGCAGCGACGCTGCTGCGGTGGTTTGGGTTTGGCTGCTGCCGAGTTGCGAGATGAGTTCCAGATGAAAAGGAACGGGGATGTGGGTTGGGAAAGTTTAATTTGCTCTCGTGGCCCTCAGATTGGCCGGGGAGTGTCCCTGAGTGGGGATGGTCAGGATGCAGGGCTGTGCCATGTGCTCTGGGATGAGCCTGCTGTGCTCTCTTCCAGCCCGGCTCATTCTGGGATTCTGGGATCTCCCCACAGCCAGCACAGCCGGCAGGCAACTGGTTATCTGGGCAAGGAGATGCTTGGAATGCCGGGGGATCCTGGGAGCAAACGCTCCCGTTCCCCAGTGTGCTGCCAGCAGCAAAAGGAGCTGCGAGGTGGCAAATGCACTTAGCAGGCAAATCCTGACAGTGTGAGCCGGGGGTGATTCTGTTCCCGAGCTGAAATGTGGCTGAGCTGCAGCGGAGCAGCTCAGTTCCCTCTGCAGCATCGGCCCCGATTACGGAATCCTGGCACTGCACTCCATCAGGTCTTGTTACAGAAAGCGACTCTGGAGAGGCTGATCCAAGGCTGCTGCCAGTCTGGGGGAGTCTCGGGTGGAGAATAGGGTGGTTTGGTGCTCAGACCTTCCAGCAGGGAAATATGACACCAAAATATTGAAAGGAATCTAGTCAGGTCTTGCAAATACCAGTTATTATTTGTGTTCATCATCATCTCATATTCCCTAATAAGTTCAAATAGCAAGGCCTTGCTCGTTCCTTCCATCTTCCATACAAACTACTGGATTTACCCTCTGCTAAGTACTTGTTACAAGTGCTTTGGGGTCTGTGATATGAAAACCCTGCCACACCTCAAAGCTGTTGTGCTGTACGTGTGTTTGGAAAAAGCTTTTCCAAGGAGTGATCAAAGGCTATGGCTTCAGTTCTTGGTCTTGCACATAAGTAGGTCTGAAGGCCTAAAATCCTGCTGTGTTGCTCAACAGATAATAAATAGGGGTTTTCATGCTGGTTTTTGGCAACCTGCACTTCGACCAATCTCACTCTTGTGCATGCTGAGAATCTTTTTGACAGCTAATGAGAATATTTTGTTTTTCTTCCAGGTTTTCCTTTCAGCGTGGTTCTCCTCTCAGTGGCAGGAGCTGCCTTTTGAAGCAGCACATTCATTCTCCCCTTCAAGCACCCATAAGTCTCATTTGCCAGCTCCAGAACCATGGCAACAGAAGAAAAGAAGCCAGATGCAGAATCCACCAAAACACAATCTACTCCTTCCTCCTCGACCAATCAGAGCAAGGTGTGTGTGGGGCCCCAAAAAATATCCCTGTAAAAAACACCTGGAATTACCTGAACACTCAGCAGCCAGACCAGAATCAGGGACTTGAATTCTCCTGTAAATTAAGATCTTTTCCATGTGGCTGCTCCTGCTGTTGTCTCGTGCTGAGGATTTTGTGGGAAAAGTGGATGGAGTGCAGCTCTGCTGTAGTGCTGTGTTCTTTTATAGGTTTTGGGGAAATTCTCACTAGTGAAATACTTCTTGTCATTTTAATCATGACAAAGGCTGTTTGTTTGTATCCTTGGAATGCCTGGAGGTGGCTGGAGAATTGGTGAACCTCTAGTTGTGCAGTGGGGAAACAGTTATTCATGTTCTTTGGAGCCTGGAGATGCTCAAGGGAGGTGTTATTGTCTAACCATGAAGGTAAAAGTGGGATTTTAGGGGCAGGGAGGAATTAATGTGGTTTAATTCATGATCAGGGTGAAGATGCAAACACTTGAAAGCACTGCACAGATCAATAGCAAGAGTGTCACTTGGAAGTGCCAGGCACTTTGTGGTTGGGCTGTTGGATCATTCTCACTTGTTTGTTGCTGGCTTGGATGGAATTTACCTCAGGAGTGATTTGGTGTTGTGCTTGGAACAGTGAGGCCCCAGACTGAAAGGGTGTTTGGTTTTTTCTGAATTTGGAGGGGAATGGGAATGTAAATGTGATTTAATGTTGGAATCTATTCTGGTGAACATCCTCATGGTCCATTCCCCTGTGCTGATCAGAGCTGGCCACTGAGATGCTGAATTTGGGATTTAACTCATTCATGGGTATTTCTCTTCCAGCCTGCCCCAGTAAAGCCAAACTATGCTCTCAAGTTCACGTTAGCAGGACACACAAAGGCAGTGTCATCAGTCAAGTTTAGTCCTAATGGAGAGTGGCTTGCCAGCTCCTGTAAGTATTGCTTGCTTTTGTCTCATTTCAAACACAAATGTGGGCCTTGAAGAAGGGCTTGTCTGAGCCTCCATCAGGGATGCCATGTCATGACATGGTTTTTCTTCAAAGAGTGATTCCAAAGCTGTCACTCTTTGAGATAATTTGCTTGAAGTTCTGTTACTTTGAGCACTGGGTCCTTGCATTGCCAGGAGAGCCCTCACCAGTTCAGCTTTCCTGACTGAGCAAATGGGCAAAATCCAGAACTGTGCAGAGAAAACCCTTGTGCTTTTCTGTATCACTAGAAGTGAACATTTAAATTAAACTTTGTGCACAATATCTGCAGGCAAAACTTTACTGTGGGAAATAAGGAAGGTGCTGCAGAGTTGATGCTCTGTGCTGTGCCTGTGGTTCTTGGCAGTCAGAGCTTTGCCCCAGTGAAGTGCAGAAGGTTGTTATAAATAGTGTTTCACTGCTTGCTGTCTTAAGTGATAGAAAAGTCTCCTTTCTGTCAGCTTTGGTATTTCCTGAGGGTTTCTTTGGTGTTCAGCACTGCTTGACAGCTTTGCCCTGAAAATGTGCTTCTGTGACTGTCAGTGATGCAGAGAGAATCCATGTGTAAGGAAAGGCCAGTTGGAAATGTTGACTATGACAGTGAGGGTCACTGCAACATCTTCCAGACATGGGAATAGCTTGGGGCTTTGACTTAACTGCAGACAACCTCAATAAAACCAGTGCACTGTGCCATATAAATCATTCTTAGTGTCCCCATCAGAGCTCCCCTCCCCTTTTCCCCTTTCCCCTGAAAATGTTTTCCAAACTCTCTATCTGGCAAATAGCAACTTTTTTCTCTGGCTTGCTTTGCAAGTTACCATGGGTAATATGTCTGGGTTTCTGCAGGCATCCATTCAGTCCAGCTTGTGGTGTAATTATTGTTCTTTTCGGGGCAAAAGCCTTTCAAGCATTCCCCTGAACCAGCACTACTTTTACCACTGGCAATCCAAAACAAAAGTAGAAACCCAAGTTGTCAGGAGAGAAACTAAAGCTGCTGGAGTGTCTCTGCATTCCAGGCAGCTTATGTAACCTCAGCTGCTGCAGAGGGCTGTGTAGGAAGCTGTTCTTCACCAACTCAAAATCACCTTCTTCCCTGAGGTCTGCCTGGGGAGGGAGAGCTGCCCAGAGACAGAATTAACTTGTTTCCTTTCACCTGGGAGGGGCAGCTCTGCTAGTGCTCTTAATTAACCTCTGAACTGGCTCATTCTTTTCCAGCTGCTGACAAACTCATTAAAATTTGGGGAGCATATGATGGCAAGTTTGAAAAAACAATATCTGGTCATAAGCTGGTAAGTATCAGGTGATTACTGTGGGAATTTACCTGGGAAGAATTTTGCTTTCTTTTCCTCATTCAGAAATTTCCATTCTTGGTTAAGTTCTACCTGTTACCAAGAATTTCCATTCTTGCTTAGTTCTACATATGTAGAAGGTTTGTTCCTCAGTTGTTTTTTGTTTATATAGTCCTGGAATTGCTGGATTAATTTTGGGGCAGGTTGAGAATATGGGTGCAGTGCAGGCTGCATTCCCAGTGCCCAGCCAGCTTCTTGTGTCCCTGAATTGCAGGAGAAGCCACCTCAGACACAGGGCAGAGCATTCCTGGGTGAAAATCCCTGTGAATCCTAACATTGTGTCCTGTTCCATCTTTCCTTTGTATAAGGAACAAAACATTTGCCTTTTAAGGAGATTGAATTTTTCTTGTGGGTTTGCCTACATAAACACAACACTTACTCATTCTGCAGAGTTCTTAAGAAAACACAAAACTTCCAAGCTCTTTGGTTTTCTTTTTTTTTTTTTTTAAAGTTTTTACATGCTGAAGTTTCATGAGCAAAAATGAAGATTTATCAAAAGAAAAACCACTGGAATCTTCTCCAGCCTCTGGGGACTTGGACTGTAAACAGCAGCCATTTGTCATGAGGAAAAGCCATTTACTCAGATTAATTGATGAGCATTCTATTTAGGAATTCCAACAAAGGGTTTTGGTGGCCACAGTGAGAACTCTGTGAAGGAGCTACTGGTGTTCTCAGAGTATGTGGCTCAGCTTAAAATTGTGCCAGAGGAGCTCTTAACCCAGCAAAATCGCTGAATTCCTGACTCTCAGTGCTGAATTTTCATTCAAGCTTCAGCTGGGAATGTGATCTGCAGTCTGTGTTTTCCACTTTTCTGTGTGGCTGAACAGAGCTGAGAACAGAATTGTTTTCCTTTGTTTTAGGGGATCTCTGATGTTGCTTGGTCATCAGATTCCAACCTCCTTGTCTCTGCCTCTGATGACAAAACTCTCAAAATATGGGATGTAAGCTCGGTAAGGGCAGGAATTATTATTTATTTACCTTCATTTTTCTCCAGCATTGGCTTCTCCACTTGTGTTGTTGCTTGTAGCAAGCTGGTGGATGGGCTGTGAGGATGAATGAATTGTGCTGTGTGCTCTTGGAAAGAGTGGGGTGCTTGTGGGTACCATGAGGAGCCTGTTATGCTCTGAGAGAGCACTAAACCTGATGATGGAGACAAACTCACAGCAAAAAGCCTCTCAGATGAAACCTTTTTGTAACTTTTATTTCTGCTTTTTCCCCCCCATTCTCTTGTGACAGAACTGGATAATTTGGTTGAGTTTTGATTAGCAATATTAAATGGTTTGGATCCTCCTGAGCTGCATAAAGAGTTTGCACCTCATCTGCAATCATTATGATTGTTTTATATTTTTTTCCTGTCCTGTTTTGTTGCAGCTGGCCCTCTGCCCAGCTAAATCTGGGGTTAGAGATGTTTCTTTCTGTGCTGCACAGTGATTAACCTTAATGTGCTCTCTCTGGGTGCTTTTATGGTGCTGGGTGAT